GGGAGTGTGGTGTTGAATCTCCACGACGTGGAAATGAAGCCCACGACGTGGAAATGAAGCCCACGATGTAGAATCGGTATCGTGACACCTTCCGAAGCTAGGACCCAAATGGCAAGTCTACGAGGTGATGCATCTCTATTTCCACGACGTGGAAATGAAGCCCACGACGTGGACTTGACTTGGACAGCCTCCTATAAATAGGATGCAAGGCCGCCAGATTATGTTGCAAATTCTCAACCTCTCTCCTACTTTTACTCACTTTTAAGCCTCTCTAAACTACCCCGAAGCCTAGGAAACATCCCCGACACCCGAAGTAAGTCCCGACTCCCCGAAGACCCGAGAAAATAATATTTTCAAGTTGAAACTCTGCCCGCGCAAGGTCTGGTTTTCAACAAAAATCCTCGGTTTCGTCAAAGAAAGTCATATTTAGAGGCGAAGTGCTGCCCAAATTATCATTTTATCAATCAATTATTTCACGGCGAGTTCAGTATATAGGAACAATTGTATGTTATGTGTTATATGTGCTATGTTCTTTTCCATGTTATTTTCCCGTGTTATTATTTCGTGCTATTTTGATAGCAAAGTTATACATTTGGCCATCTGATCAGTGAAAGGTTAGATAGGGCTAAAAGCCTGCAAAATGACTTCTGGCCGTGTAGATCATGTCTCGTAAGAGAATGACTTCTACCACTATGACATTGGCAGAAGGTTAGATAGGGCTAAAAGCCTGCAAAATCTACCAAAATTTTAATCAGAAATTGTATGTCTTCTGTGCCATTTGGGCCGAAGCTTTATTGATGTATATCAATTATTGAAATTGTTATGTCTCATTGATTGTATATCTTTGAATCAAATCATCGATTGATATGGAAAGCTTGTCACATGATTCACATATGCATTTGTTGTTCCTTGTTCCTCTTTGCTTCTACCACATTGATGTATATATATGGCATAACGTTCTATTGTATCTATTATTGAACTCACTAAGCATCACCGCTTACCCTCTCAGTGTTTAATTATTGCAGGTGATAAGCATCCAGTATAGTTATGTACTGTTAGAAGATGTAGAATAGTTAACATTGTAGCTTTTGTATTTAGTGTATAAATTCCTGGGAAATTATGTAATATATATATATATATATATATATATATATATATATAACTTTTCAAAAACCTCGTTAGTCGGTTTGTATTCAGTCTTTTGTAATAAGACCATATATGTAAAATATGTTTATGAATATGCATGTAGCATGTTTGGAGTTATAATGTAAATTACGAAAGGGGTTCTTTCATAATACAACTTATATTTACCTTGAAAACTCGTATGATTGAAAAATTACCACATTTGCGTATACTTGTGATAAACATATGTTTCAAATTTTTTCTCAAAACTAAATCATTAGAAGCATTAAACAGCTACTTTGACTCTAGAGACAAAGAGATAAGTATTTATCTTCATCTTTTTGTTCTCCATTCAAACTCCATAGTGCATTAGTTTCCTATATCAAAAATGTATAGATATGTTATATAGCTCACAAAATATACACACATTTTCGATGTCTAGATCCTGGAGACAAAATCACTCTTGAAGCACCATTTTCCATGGATGAAATCTGAGGTGTTGTATGGGTGTGTGGGAATGAGAAGTCCCTTGGCCCGGATGGATTTAGCTTTAAATTCTTAAAGAAATATTGGGAGCTAATACAGGAGGACGTTTTTGCATTCGTTAAACATTTTTAGAGAAACGGGATATTCAATGTGGGATGCAACTCATCCTTTATCACGTTGGTACCAAAAATTAAAGATCCACTCATACTTGGAGATTTTCGACCAATTAGCCTTATAGGGTGTCTCTACAAAATAATTGCAAAAACCCTTGCTACTCGCATAAAACGGGTGATCGGCTACAGCGTAGATGAGGTACAATACACATTTGTGGAAGGGAGAAGCATCTTAGATAGACCATTAATCCTTAATGAAATTTGCTCATGGGCAAATCAATCCAAAAAGAAAATTCTTTTATTCAAACTGGACTTTGATAAAGCATTTGACTCAATTAATTGGGAATATCTTGACTCCATGCTATAACAAATTGGGTATGGAGGGAATTGGAGAATTTAGATTAGGGGGTTCCTACAATCAGCTAGAGCCTCGGTGTTGGTGAATGGGTCCCCTACGGATGAATTCATAATGGAGATGGGAGTACGACAAGGAGACCCGCTATCTTTCTTTTTGTTTATAATCGCAATGGATGGATTGAACGTGGTCATGAAGACTGCGTGTGAAAAAGGGCTGTTTAATGGAATAAAAATTCCACATGTTAGCCTAACTATCTCCCACCTCTTCTATGCAGATGACGCGCTATTCGATGGAGAATGGAATAAGAGCAACATAAAAAACCTTGTCCGGGTTCTTAGGTGTTTCCATGTATTCTCGGGACTCAAAGTTAATTTTTGAAAATCTCAGGTGTTCGGTATTGGGGCAAATCCATAGGAGGTGGTTAGATGGGCTACACCTCTCGGATGTGAACCGGAATCGATCCCATTCACATATCTTGGAATACCGGTTGGAGCAAACATGAAGCTAAAAAAGTATTGGAAACCGGTGGTGACAGGTTCCATGCAAAACTCTCATCATGGAAATCCAAAACCCTATCATTCGGGGGTCGACTAACACTAATAAAAGTTGTACTTGTAAATCTCCTGACCTTTTATTTTTCGCTCTTTGTTGCCCCAGTAGGGGTATTGAACATGTTGGAGAGCATCCGTAGGCGGTTCCTGTAGGGAGGTTGCGATGAAAAAAAGAAAGTACATTGGGTGACATAGGAGAAAGTAACTACTCCGAAGGACATGGGTGGTTTAGGTGTTAGATCTCTAAGGGCCCTAAATATCTCTTTAGTCATCAAATGGTGGTGGAGGCTTAGGGCGGAACCTTCATCGCTTTGGGCTTGGACCATTAAAGGGATACGCAATCTGCAAATTAGACCCTCCAATTGTATATCCAAAAAGACTATCAGTGGTGTCGGAAATAATATAGCTAGCACTAAAAATGATATGCAAGGCTTGGGTGTTGAAATCGAAGATATACTAGTGAAACAGGTTGGAAGAGGATATGATACAATGTTCTGGCATGATCAATGAATTGGGCAATAAACCACAGAAACTCACATTCCTAGAGTTATACTGACTAGAAAAGAAAAAGAGATGTGAGGTAGCTGATAGGTTACAAATTGCAGGTCCAACATGGGAATGGTTATCGCCACCTTCTAATGTTGATTAGGTACAAGAGTTACAACTGATTTTTTTAATACTTGGCACCTTCCAACCTAGTATGTCTGGCGATAGTTGGAAATTTGCTATGACTTCTGATAGGATATTTCTTGTGGAGGCCCTAAGGAAGTTAATTGATAAGCCCCAACACTCGTACCTAGTGAAACAATTGAATAGTTAACTGAGGTTCCTATCAAGGTACTTTGTTTTATATGGCGAGCAAACTAGGGGCGCATCCCATCCTCAACTGAATTAAAGAAAAGGGCAATATTCAATGGAGAGTCGGTAGGTAGTTACTGATTAAATGAAGAGGATAGAGCTGAGCATATTTTTGTTACATGTCCTTTTGCTAAAACTGTTCGGGAATGGATTCTTAGATGGTGTGATATACCCACACACCATTTCTCATCTATTTATGGAATCATCAGTTTAGCAGCTTCATGAAGTAATTGCAAGAAAATGAGAAATGCCATCGTTAACATATGTTATGGAACATTTTGGTGGACATGGAAGGCAAGATGTGATAGAATGTTTAAGAATAAAAAAGTATCTCAACAAAGGTGGCAGATAACATTAAATCACATGTATTTACATGAATAAAGCACATGAGGGTGAATTGTAGCTATAAGTGGGTTGATTGTCTGTTAATCCTTTTATTTGCTTGTAAAAAACTGATTTTATATGTTTCCTCTTCTACTATCTAGTTCTTGATAGATGAGTGGGGTTATCTTTATTAATATACTATCATTTGTCAGTTCAAAAAAAGAATCAACATGTATTGTGTGTTTGAATATCTCATTTATCCTAAATTCGAGATATGGTTTTCTTACATTACCGCAAATCTAATTTTTTGTAGCCCCATATAATATGGTTAAAAGTATAAATTTTGGAAAGAAATTTATATGCTATCCCTTAACTGTGTGAATGCTTATTGAGCTACTTACCTTGTTTTTCTAATCGTTAGAATGATACTTCCTCCATCCCAAATTGATAGTCCGCTTTTGACTTTTGAAGTCTTTTTTCTTCAACTTTGACATTAAATATTTTTATGTGTTATATATTACTTTATAAAACTTATAACAATGAAAAAACATTTAAAATACAATCCATTCATATATTTTTCATCAAGTATTATCTATCAAACACAAAAATATTTAAGGTCAAAGTTTAAGAAAAAGACTTCAAAAGTCAAAAGTGGATTATCAATTTGGGACGGAGGTAGTGTTGTGTTCTATGTTTTAGTTATTTATTGTAATTGTCTTATAATTTAGTGAAATCTATCTTAAATTAACCTTATATTTTATCTTATATATATATATATATATATATATATATATATATATATATATATATATATATATATATATATATATAAGCACGCACACACATACATACTAGTAGGGTACACGTGCGATGCTGCAGCGGCGAATAGTTTTCTTTTGGCGATTAAGGTTTACGGTTTCAGTGGAGTGGTTTCTTAAAAAGGGTTTTTGTCATAGAGACCCTACTAACTTTTACAGTTGGTTTTAAAAGCCCATTATTATTTTATTTGGCCTTTATAGACCCCCAAATTCGGAATTTACCTGTCGCTTTTACAACTAACATAAAAATTGGCCTACTACTACCGGTTATAATGAATTGATAGTGTATAGGTGGACAATGTTGTCCATGTAGATTCACAATTTGCAGCTGATGAATCAGCTTCATTTAGAAGCTAGTATGCGTGCCTAAATGAAGACAACATCTACAAGATCGTTTCCCATTTTTAACATATCTTTGTCTGATCTCGAACCTTTAAGAAGCAATTCATCTTCATTTTTGATGGCATACTCAGTCGGATCAAGCTCTGCGAACGACATTGTTGTAGCTACTAGGAATCGTGATAATAACTTGTGTAATTGTCGTCATCTTCCAAAGTTCACGGTAGAAAGGATATCGATGTTTGATAAGAATCCAGCTCGCAGATTTCGCAGTTGTGTTGACTCTTTGGTAAGCATCTTCTTCTTTGGGGTATGTTGTCTACAAAATGGAGTTATGGGTTATGAAATCTTGTGCGATAATGTTGAGGTTAGGGTTTACTGTTGTTGATACATTCGATAGTGGTAATGGGGGTGTTTTGGTTTGTGTAACTGGGTATGTATTTTTTGTAGGTGGAGATGGCAACTAAGAAATGTAAATACTTCAAGTCGATCGATGGTGACCTAACACCACACTACAAGCATGCCTTTAACAATCTCAAGTATGAGATGCAACTTATGAAAGACAACAGTTACACTGGCAGGTTGGAGAGAAGGGTAATTATGTTGGAGAACCTGAATGCTGAAATCACTACTGCTAAAGACATTTTAGATGGTGAGTTTTCCATTGCGATTGAAGATAAGAAACAGTTGAGTGGTTAATTGAAGTTGGTGAGGATGAAGTTCAGGATTGCTATGATGGTGCTTGTGCTTCTTGTTGGTGTGTTGTTGATGCAAAAATCAAATGTGTTGGGATAGGGATGGTATTGTGATGGGGGTGGTTTTTGGTAGTTTTTGGTGGTTTAGATGCTCTCCCTTTTTGTAAACATGGTTTGGGGATAGGGATACAAGACAACTGACTTTTGGTGGTTTGGAAAATTGTTGGTATTTGTAGGGATGTAAATGGCCCTGTATTTAACATAATTTTGTATGCTCATGTGCTTTTGTATTTAATGGAAACAAACATCTTTCTGGTACTATACTTTTGATGCAGTGCATTACCTTTTACATATTCCAATTCACATGTGCACACCAGACAAACATAAAAGGTACCTTTAGTTAATGTGGACCACATAAAACATAAGGGATCCACCACATGGCCGGATTGAAAGAGATTGGTAGTTTGGAAAGTACCATGACAATTGAATACTGCTAAGAAAGTACCATGACATGTGATCTTACAACAATTACCCATAATGACAAAATACATATGCTGCATTCATGTGAAATTATTTAAGGTTCAAAAGACACAAATGTTCCCCATGCAGCAACCAACTTAACCTAGTAGATAGAGGTTTAAAACATAGGGGTTTAAAACACAACACAAGTTCAAAATACACAAATCCCAATCCTAATCTATATCCATTGGATTTATTGTTGAGCTGCCTTCACCATTCTTTCCATACACTACTTTTGCAAGTTTGGTCTTCAAAATTCTCTCAGAAGGCTTTCTTGTTCTAACAGCACCACCCACGCCCCTTGACTTAACCTATAATACACAAAATTACCATATTTCCCTTCAACTAAGATATTACTTAAAAGTGTATAAAGCATGGTGCAAAACATATATTTTTTTATGACCATTCACTCCACCACCTGACATTGGAACATCATGCACTCCACCACCTTCACCACCTACACCTCTATGCAGTCCACCACCTTCACCACCTACACCTCCATTCACTCCTCCTGCACCTCATTCACCTACAAATCTTGTATAATATCACATGTCAACTATTGCTTTGCTCAAATAACAACAACATTACAATTTACCTAGTTAGTCTTGATTTTCTTTGCTTTTTCACTCTGAGCTTAGTTGGCTTATTTGATGCTTTGCAAGGCACCTTGTTATGGCCAAGCATATGACAAGCACTGCACACAATGCGTTTACCCTTCTTTGATACCTTGTGCTTCTCCATCCTCTCTGAGACATCTCTCTTCCTTTTAACAACATGTCTTCCAGGCATCCTTCTTATTTGGGGAGGTAATGGTGGGGTAAATGTTGTCTCTGGCCACATGTTACTACCATTCATAGGCAAGATATTGTTCAGGTATTTTGTATTGTAATTTGACCTACAGAAAATAGGATCGACAAAAGTCTCAACATCCCTATTAAGAAATAAGATTGTAGCAACTGAATGTGCACACCCATATCCATTCAGTTGCCATAACCTACAAGAACATGTTCTATTGTAAAGATCCACATCATAAGCTTTCCATTCATTTGTAGTCTCAAACTTATTTAATCCACTTGGGAGCACTTGCCAGTACCTAGCTTTAATATTTAAACCATTCAGCAACTGCCTGATGGCAGGACTTACCTCCTTTGACCATTTTTTGTGTTTAAAATTATACATCCTTTCCATGATATATAACCTCAGCTCCTCCAACAAAGTGATAATAGGTTTCCTTTTGGCTTCCACAACTACTGCCTTAAAGCTCTCTGACAGACCATTCGCCATTGCAGCATAAGCCTTGCCGACCTCATAAAATGCCCTTGACCAAGTCTTTGGATCCTTTTCCATCAAAAAGTTATGGGATTATAGGCTTAGTTTTTCCATTTCTTTCATGAACACATTGAAAGACTGTGGTGTTGTTGCATTACAAGCCTTCCAAAAAAGGTTCTCAAAAATAGCCCCTGCAAACCTTTTCTTAAAATTTGCAACAATGTACCTGGCACATTGTCTATGCTCAGCACAAGGAAGCACCACCTTAACTGCCTCCATAAGACCCTTGTGTTGGTCAGACATTAATGTGAAGCCATTGCGCATACCTAGTTCAAGATCATCTTTAAGCAACTCCAAAAACCATATCAAGTTTTCTTTATTCTCAACACACAATATTGCCCATGCAGCTGGGAAGATGTAGTTGTTAGCATCTATACCCACAGCACATAGTAACTCCCCGGTGCATACAGCCTTAAGGAAACACCCATCTATCCCCAACACCTTTCTACACCCTTCTAACCAACAAGATTTCACATTAGCAAAACACACATAGAACTTACTGAAGTAATTCAAACCATCAGGCATGCATTGGACATCAATTTTTACTATTGAACCTGGATTGGTTCTTCTAATTTCCTCCCCATAAGACCATAATTTTGCATAATGCTCAGTTAGGGTCCCCTCAATAAGACTCATTGCATGTGCCTTTTCCCTTCTACATTGACTTAAACTTACCTGTATTCCCAACTTCCTTATAACCTCCAATCTCAACTGTCTAATAGTGAGCTTTTGTCTATGCAAAATTTCCTTAGTATAATGTTCTCCTATCCATGAGTATGTGACAATAGAACCTAGTTTGTAGTTTCTAGCACAATTTTGTTCAATCTTCAATGTCTTGATTTGAAATGACACCTCCTGACTCATCCACGTATCCCATAATCTGAATGGGCAAGCTCCTTTGCAACAAACCACCAACAACATTTTACTATCGTTCTTCTTGAAACAAAGTTGGTATCTATTCTCCACAGCATAGTTACATAACATATTTTTCAGTTGCTTTGGACTTTCAAACTTCATCCCTAGAACATGTACTTGCCTATTCCATTGCATATCAGGGTTGAAAATGGAATGGATCTCAACATCTTCTTTTAAAATACATTGTCACCAGTATCTCCTTCAGGAGGATATAACTTATTAGGAAACTCATCCCCACTTGTCTTGTTCAAGGGTTTGTGTTGTCATGGTCAATGACTTCATCTTCAAGACCTACATTGGGATGAGTTCCATCAGAGATAGTGTTTCCTTCATTTCTAGCTCTACCCTCATCTTCAATGCCACTTTCGTCTTCACTAACAACTAGATTCATGTCATCATCCCACCATTCCTCCAAACCATTCCCATTACAATCAACATAAATTGAAATTTCCCCATACTCATACCCGGTATCTATAAACTGGGCATAATCCAAGTCATCTACAATGGGATGAATCCATCCAGATAAAGGATTGTTAGGTATGCAATAGTAAAGGTTTTCAAACTCTTCCCTTATAGCTCTTTCAAGAAAAGCAAAACATTCCCTTCGACGCTTCGCTAACAACTAGACAGTGTTTCCTTCATTGTTAGGTAGCCTCCTTTACAGCTGGTACAACTCCAAGGTCTCCGATGAATTTCTTTAGCCATATTTCCTCCTTTGACGTTTTGCTTGCTGCTATGTACTCTGATTCGCACGATAAATCAGCTACAATCTCCTGTTTGGAACTTTTCCATGTTACTGCTCCTCCATTAAGGGTAAATACCTAGCCCGACTGAGAGCGGAAATTATCTCTGTCGGTCTGAAATTTGGCGTCACTATACCCTGCCACTCTCAAGTCATCACTCCCACCGAGGGTAAGGACCCAGTCCTTAGTCCTCCACAGGTACTTAAGAATGTTCTTTACTGCTATCCAGTGAATTCTACCAGGATTCCCTTGATATCAACTAACCATGCTCAAGGCAAAAGCCACATCAGGGCGACTACATGTCATAGCATACATGATCGATCCAACTGCGGAAACATATAGTACTCGACTCATTTATGCTATTTCGGCATCGGTACTCGGACTCTGAGTCTTACTCAGTTTGGTATTGCTCTGGATAGGAAATTCTCCTTTCTTGGAATTCTCCATGTTGAAACGTTACACCTTGTCCAAGTAGGTACTTTGACTAATCCCTATTAGTCTTTTACTCCTATTTCTCAATATCCTTATCCCTAGAATGTAAGTAGCTTCCCCGAGGTCCTTCATAGCAAAACACTTCCCAAGCCAGGACTTAACTTCCTGTAAGGTTGGAACGTCGTTTCCTATGAGTAGTATGTCATCCACATACAATACCAGAAAGCTAACTATACTCCCACTAGCCTTGACATATATGCAAGACTCATCCTTGCTTCTCGTAAAACCAAACTCTTTGACTTTCTCATCGAAACAAAGATTCCATGTAACACCGTAATTTTTCAAACAATTTTTCACATTTTCAAAACATACTTTCATTCATAAATATTATAAAAATGTCATTGTATCACATATCAATCCATAGAAACACAACCCCAAGATCATAATGTATAAAACACCTTATGTGTGTACTGATCATGTCGGCGCCTTCCCGCGATCCTCACTGGTACCTGAAACACATAACACAACACTGTAAGCATAAATGCTTAGTGAGTTCCCCAAAATACCGCATACAACACATACGCCACTCGAGGCTACAGTACGACCCTCCGGTCGATGTGTCTTAGCGGGACCCTCCAGTCCCGTAGCTCGTTGGACCCTTTGGTCCGGTCATAGCTCGTTGGACCCTTCGGTCCGGTCTGTATCGTTGGACCCTTCGGTCCGGTCTATATCGTTGGACCCTCCGGTCCGGTATATATCGTTGGACCCTCCGGTCCGGTCTATACAACACATAGCATACATATATCACAATGCATATAATCTCATACATACACATAGCACACAAGACCCTCCGGTCTACACATAGATACCACTCTAGGTAGTGTATAGTGAGAAGACTCACCTCGGGTATCTCGGATGATCTCGCACACGAATATACTGATCTAGCCCCCGCCTAATCACATACACAATATCCTCAAATAAATAATGGCTCTCAAAGGCTAGATTAAATCCCCTTCTACAATCCCTCAGAAGGGTAAAAGACCATTTTACCCCTCCTTGACCCAAAAGTCCAAATGTTGACCAAAACCCTAAAAGTCAACGAAAGTCAACAGTCACACTTTGACCCGACTCGTCGAGTGCACATGGGCGACTCGGCGAGTCCATGCGGGTCCTTTGAATCCTTCTAGCCTCTCATGGCTCGTCGAGTCATCCTTCCACTCGATGGGTTACTCCTGTCACGAATCGCGGGGCAACCCCGACTCGACTCGTCGAGTCCACTTATGGTCTCGGCGAGTTCCTCCCATGAAAACACTCAAACGATCTTTTGAGGTCAGATCTGCTTCACCAACCAGTAGATCCAACCTTCTAACACTCGAAAGTCACGTAAAGGTTCAAACTTTACGTTCATGCAATGCTTATAAGACCAAAAATGGAGAAATAACCTTTAAAATGGGGTTTTACTCTCAAGGCTCACATGAAACCTCATAAAGCTGGAAGCTTGGGACCTTTTGGACCTCTCAAGGTCCAGATCTATCATCTATACCCAAAGGGACCTCATATGCTTCACAATCTAACTCAAAATTGTACAAAGGAAACCCTAGATTCAAGGAATCTATCAAATACACGAAATGGGAAGGAACTTGTACCTCAAAACATGAATCTCAGTGTGAACAACACAGATCCAAGCTCCACAATCGATCTAGCTTGGATTTTCCCACTCCTTCTTGCAAGATCACACCAAAGGATGAAGAATTAGCCTCCAAAATGCTCTCTAAGCTCTCTTTTCTCTCTAGGGTTTTCACAGGGGAGTAGTGGCCGCAAATGACGGCCATAAGGGCCTTTAAATAGGGCTCAAGCCCTGAGATTTAGGGTTTCACTTTACAGCGCGGACTCGCCGAGTCCACGCATCGACTCGTCGAGTCCGGTCATTAATCCAGTCAGCAAACACGGTCCTACTCGACGAGTCTACGCCTCAACTCGTCGAGTCCCTCTCTTTTGCCCATAAATAAATTATCAAACACAATACCTGGAAATACGGATGTTACAATTCTCCCCCACTAGAATCATACTTCGCCCTCGAAGTCTTGCTCCGCAAATAACTCTGGATGTTGCTCCCGCATCTCCAATTCCGGCTCCCAAGTCAGCTCGGACCCTCTCCGATGTTGCCACTGGACCTGAACCAGGGACACCTCCTTGTTCCTCAGAACCTTGATCTTCCGATCCCGGATCGCGATTGGCCTCTCATCATAATTCAGGCTCGCATCCACCTGAATATCCTCCAACGGCACCACCGCCGACTCGTCGGCTATACACTTCCTCAACTGAGACACGTGGAAGGTATCATGAATCTGGCTCAACTCCGCAGGTAGCTCCAACCGATACGCTACCCTGCCCACCCTCGCGGTCACCCTGAACGACCCAATATACCGGGGCCCCAGCTTGCCCCTCTTCCTGAATCGAATCACTCCTTTCCAAGGAGACACCTTCAGGAGTACGAAGTCTCCCACCTAGAATTCCAGCTCGGATCGTCGCCTATCCGCATAACTCTTCTGGCGGCTCTGAGCTGTCAACAATCTCTGTCTAACCTGTTGTATCTGATCGGTCGTCTGAAGCACTATCTCAGTGCTGCCCATCACGCGCTGTCCTACCTCTCCCCAGCAAATGGGAGTCCGACACCTCCTCCCATACAACAACTCAAAGGGAGGCATACCAATACTCGAATGGTGGCGGTTGTTATAGGAAAACTCAGCCAATGGTAGGTACGTGTCCCAGCTTCCTCCGAAGTCCAACATACATGCTCGAAGCATGTCCTCGAGCGTCTAAATCGTCCACTCACTCTGTCCGTCCGTCTGTGGGTGGTATGCGGTGCTGAAATGCAGCCTCGTACCCAACTCCTCATGGAATTTCTTCCAGAATCTGGAAGTGAAATGTACGTCTCGATCTGACACAATCGAGATCGGTACTCCATGCCGCGATACCACCTCCCTCACATATAGCTCTGCCAGTCTCTCTGTAGAAGATCTCTCACTAATAGCAAGGAAGTGAGCGCTCTTCGTCAACCGGTCGACAATCACCCAAATTGCATCGACACCCCTTGCGGTCCTTGGCAACTTGGTGATAAAATCCATGGAAATCTGTTCCCACTTCCACTGGGGAACCTCAAGTGGCTGCAACTTGCCGTGCGGACGCTGGTGTTCGGCCTTAACCCTGCGACATGTCAAGCACCTCTCAACAAACCATGCAACATCCCTCTTCATACAGGGCCACCAATAATCTTTATTCAGATCCAAATACATCTTAGTGGCCCCGGGATGGATCGAGAATCTTGATCTATGCCCTTCCTCCATCAAGGTGGTGCGCGCCCCGCCTGCATACGGCACCCAAATCCGACCCTGAAAGGTCATAAGCCCGCGGCTATCGGTAACGAACTCAGGTACCTGTCCAATCACCCGCTCTCTCTTACGGTTCTCCGGTCTCACGGCCCCTGCCTGAGCCTCCCGAATGGTGTCCAACACCGGAGTCGTCACAGTCAACCGCATACAAATGTCTCGAATCGTGGCATTCTCCGCCCTACGGCTCAGGGCTTCAGCTACAACATTAGCTTTGCCCGGGTGGTACAGGATCTCACAATCGTAATCCTTTACCACATCCAACCATCTCCTCTGGCGCATATTCAGGTTGGGCTGATCCATCAGATACTTCAAGCTCTTGTGGTCCGTGTATATGGTACACTGAACCCCATACAGATAGTGACGCCAGATCTTGAGGGCGAACACTACCGCCCCCAACTCTAGATCATGGGTGGGATACCTCGTCTCATGAGGCTTCAGCTGCCTCGATGCATATGCTATCACATGACCCCTCTGCATAAGTACTGCACCCAACCCCGATATCGATGCGTAACAATACACCACAAAATCCTCCATCCCCTCCGGAAGGGCTAACATTGGGGCTTCGCATAATCTCTGGCAAAGTGTCTCGAATGAGGCCTGCTGCTCCGGGCCCCAACTGAAAGCCACACCCTTCCGGGTCAACCTGGTGAGAGGAACAGCAATCTTGGAGAAATCTTTAATAAATCTCCTATAATAGCCGGCCAACCCCAGAAAACTCCTGATGTCGGTGGGGGATTTCGGCACCTCCCAGCTCATCACCGCCTCAATCTTGGCCGGATCGACCAATATCTCACTCTGGTTAACGAGATGCCCCAGGAACTGGACCTCTCGTAACCAGAAATCGCACTTGGAGAATTTGGCGTAAAGCCTCTCCGATCTCAGAACTCCGAGGACCTCCCTCAAATGCTCTTCATGCTGCTCTCTGGATCTCGAATACACCAATATATCATCAATGAACACGATCACCGAACGATCCAACATCGGTCTGCATACCCTGTTCATGAGATCCATGAACATCGTCGGTGCATTGGTGAGCCCGAAAGGCATCACCACGAACTCGTAATGCCCATAACGAGTCCTGAACGCCGTCTTCTGGATATACTCATCACGCACTCTCATCTGATGATATCCCGACCTCAGATCAATCTTGGAAAACCAAGACGCTCCATGCAACTGATCGAACAAATCATCGATCCTCGGTAAGGGGTAACGGTTCTTGACCGTTAGCTTGTTCAACTCCCGGTAATCAATACACATCCGGTGTGAACCATCCTTTTTCTTGACAAAAAGGATCGGCGCTCCCAAAGGTGAGCTACTCGGTCTGATAAATCCTTTCCCCAACAGCTCCTGAAGCTGTGAGGATAACTCCTGCATCTCTGGTGGCACAAGGCGATAGGGCGCCTTGGCAATAGGCGCCGCTCCCGGAACCAAATCGATGCGAAA